ACAAGGTAAACTCTTAAAGCCCAATAAACAGAGCCATAGCCATACTACTAAAGAAAGACTTGTTACAAGCCATGAAGAGAAAAAAAAAAAAAAAAGGACGAAGTGAAGGGAATAAAAAATAGAAATACAATGAAAATGAACTGGGTCAATGCAGACAAGAATATTTGCACTATTAAGCTCAGTACAAATTGCACATGCCACATACAAAATAGATAAAAAAAAAAGAAAAAAAAAGAACTCCCAACCCAAAACATTCATCCTTAACATGTGGGTTTTCTTAATTATCGATCTCTTCCGGGCCAAATTACCCAAGTAAGATAAGAGAGGCCGCAGGCTGTTTCTGTTCCATCCGCTGCAGAGGGTGGTAATGCACCTTTGGACATGTGATGATGATATAACTCCTTTCGTCTTTCATCAAGACTTGATTTTAACCGGCCTTCTATCAAAGAGGATGGTAAGGTACATAGCCTAGCATGCCTGTCAAGTTGGTGACAACATCGTTGCACCTTGTCAAAAGGCTTAGCATCTGCTGTGAAATATCTACGCTTTGAGGAGTATTTAGATTGTGAGGATTTCTGGGAATTGCTTCAGTTTGAAGCATGTTATTATGTGGGGATTTTGTAAATGGAGGAGCAAGTGGAGGAAGAGGCAATAGAGATGGAGATGGAGAAGGAATGACCTTTTGAAAGTTCTTACTATTAAATTCCATTGCAACAGAAGAAGAATGTGCACCGGCATCAGCAAAACTAGCATTGCTGCTGTTGTTGAAGTTGTTTCTATTACCAACCATCATTTGCTCTCCCCTACTAGTAGTAGTTTCTTCCCCACCCAACAAGAATTTTACACGAGGTGTTCCCCTACCACCAGTAGTTACCTGACCCGCCTCCTCACTTGTTGGCTTCTTTAAACAGGATTTCAGCTGGACTGTTTGCTGCGGAAGAGCCTGGTGTGTTGGTCTGTCAAGTACTCGCAAGGAATCATTCACACCATCATCTCCTCGCGTCTTGTCAGATTCTGGAGCCTCGGACCCAGGAGCTTCCACGGTTCGGATAAGAAATTTCACACTCACGTTGCCAAATAAGGAATTGTTTCCATTAGCATATCGGAATGCTGCCTGTGCATCAGTTTTGTGCCTGAAAACAACACGGCATGTTGAGGACTTCCAAAACACCCGGATAGCTGCCTGGTCTAATGACCCAAATCTACCAAATTTGGCCTTCAGCTCTGCAACTGAGGGAAGTGATACCCCTGGAGGGAACTTCATCACCAGCATAGTAGGCTCAGCAGCTCTAGCTGGAGGCTGCATTTTCTTTACAAAGTCTGGTTTTCTGATTGATTTTGCTGAGGGTAAAACTGCTAGTTGTTCTTTTACCTCCACTCGTGGACCTTCCCCAATCTTCTGAGCGGCCTTCTTTTCTGCAGCTAAGGATTTTAATTGGTTAATCTTTTTCAACTTCTTTGCAGCAATTTCTTCTTGACGGTCAGATGGAAGGCGTTTTCGCCCGATTCTTGCTGGATCATCGGGTCTGCCAGGGGCTTTCACTTGTTTTGAAGTCGTCAAGGTTCTTACATTCCCATCAGAAGAATTTTCAGAAGCTCCAACAGTTGAGGGAGGTTGCTCCATCTCAGATGGTGGTGAAAGGACCAAGCTTTTCTGGTAAACAAGGGACCGGAAACACAAAAAGAATTTCCGAATGATACCTGGGCAATTCCTTTCAATGCCATGGAAGGGATCAAGTGCAAGGGCATGCAAATCATCCAATAGTTGTGAAAGCTCAAGGCCAGAACTTACAGTTGCAGCCATAGCAGATGTCCCAGCAGAATTGGGCAAGGAATTACCAGGACCAACGTCTTTCTTTTGTTTGTTTAACTGGGATTCATCTCTTGGGGCCAAACCAATCTGGTCAAATTTTCCAGGAAAAATCCCGACAGTGGGCCTGACTTTCCCAGGGGCCAAATGTTTGTGTAGATTATCTGAGTTCATTTCCAAGCCAACCACTTTCTTCTTTTTCTTCTTTTTCTCCACCATAACAGAGCTCTCAAGGCCCAAGTCCCCCAAAGGTCGTTTAAGAACTTTTACCTTCTTCACCCGGCCATCAACATTTGTTCCACCTGGTCGCTTTGCATCAGCAGCGGAAGGAAGTCCACCAGTGCTACCTTCCTGAGCTTGATCCAGCCCCTGACCACCTTCAACCTTTGGAGTTGAGTTCAGATCAGGTTTCTGTAATCCTTCAAGAGATCCAGACAATGTGCCAGCTTCATGTTTCAGATCAATTTGAGCATTAACTTCCTGCTGGATGACTGGAGATGATCCATCAACTGCACCCCCTTTTTTCTCCTCCTGATTAAAAGATGGCTTTATGTCTATAGCAGCACCTTGAGGTGTAGCCTGATCTAATGTTACAACTTTTCCAGATACATCTCCACTTAAACTCGCACCATCCTGGCTGATGAAATCCTGTTCATGTGTTGATGACATCTGAGAAACAGGTCCCCTCTTCTGCAACACATAATCCCCAGCTAGAAATACTGATGATCCCTCCATGTAGGCTGATGGCATTGAAGAACTAACTTGACCTTGGCTACTTTGAACAGTTTTTGAGTCACTTGATTCATCTCTTCTCTTGAAAAGAAATCTGTCTTTCTTGGAATGATCCTTTACTTTAATGGGCTTTTTAGCACTCTTTGCACCACCCAATGTTTCAGCAATAACAAGTGGACCACTCAAAGGAGCTAGAGATAGCAAAATGGGTCACACAGTGAGAGCATATTCAAAGCATGAAGTTAGAAAGTCAATAAATATATATATATATATATATATATTTTCAATAACCAGCAGGATTCCAAATGTCACAAACTTATCATCCTAGTTCCTCCTGAGCTCCAAGATGCAAGAAGCTCACTGTATAAAGTATAGCACCAACATACTCAAAAGCAACAAAGTAATAGATAATTTTTCAAGTATCCCAACCATGAAAAAGCACTGAGGAGATCAATTAAATGTAATCTTAGTGCAATAACATTTTACAGGGCTACATAAGTCTCAACAAGTCATGAACATGGTAAAATAGCATGATAAAACTATCATTAAATCTCATGGTGATAGAAACTTCAAAAGTAGAATAGATAAGTATGGCACAAAAATGATACCTCTAGGTGGCTGCTTGACAGGCTGATTGGGTATGACACCTATATCATTAGAAGTCCGTGCTGACTGCACGCCAAAAGCCTGTGCATATGTCTCGTCAAACTCCTCAAACACTGCCCTGCGAAAAGCAAAAACAGTAGCTCTGCTCTGAATAAATTCTAAGCTTTTCAGGTCACTATCTTGAGGTACCAGGGCCAACTGTTTAACAAATGAAAGTGCCTCCCTGGACTTGAAGCTATTTCTAGCTTTCCTAATCTGATTCGCTGAATAAACTCCTCCTGCTTCATAATCAGGCACATCAACTACAAAATATCCCTGTACATTTGTAGGCCGAAAGTTGTACGCGTTCCTGCATTTACAAGTTAACCCAAGGCCACGCCTCCGACTTGCCTCATCCACTGCCTCCTCCACAGCCTTGATAAAGTTCCTTGAAGTTGTCTGTTGTGATTTTTCAGCAAAATTTGGCTCAAAAGGGATTAGCTCAGCGGGATCAAACCATCCATAACTGCTATCCCCAAAAAAAGCAACCAAGACATGCCCTTCCCTCCTTGTTCTACGCACAGAGGATGAAGCAAAAGCTTCATTGAATATATGCCCTGGCCACCATGGATGCGATTTAACCTTTCCCCACACCAAATCACCTACTTCAAACCCGTAACTCAATGCCCTAGATGTTCCTCCTCCTATTCTGTCATTGGCCACATAATCATCAAACTCAGACAACAAAGACTTGAACTCCGGATCACTAAACTTATCCACCTCTTCATTTTTATCAACCGTTGATACTGTATCCTCTTCTACCTCAAATTTAACATCAATTTTATTATTCTGATCATTTAATGGATCATCATCAGGCCCCACAATTTGATCATCACTCAAGTTCTCATTTTTCACTTCAAAACCCCCAGATTCACCCCTGTCCTCATCTAGACTACCATTATCCTCCACATAATCCATAGCCCTATCCTCCTCAGATCTCTCATTTCCCGAATCCTTAACATCACCCTCGACACCTGGAACTCCCAAATCCAGGTCTATCGGAGAAACCTTATCATCATTACAGACTCCCGAATTTATTCTATTCTCTTCATCAGAGCTACCACTAGAATCCCCCAAAACCCTAGGGCTCGCAACATTCTCCTCTACCTTATCCGATCCTTTACCGAATTCACGATCGTCGTCCGATATCATTTCAAAAAGCTAACAAGAAACCCTAGAAATAGAGTAATCCAACTGCTCGAACAAAAAAACGATTGAAATACATACCTTGTTATTGGATACAGGAGAAGGGTTGAGGTGTGTTTGTTTCACAAGAAAGTGAGAAATTACGGGATTTTGAGGATATAAAGGTAAATAAATAAGAACCCTAGCGAAAGAGTGAGGGTGAGTGGGAGAGTGTACGTCCGCGTGGAGGAGGGAGGAAAGGAAGGAAATCGGGTTTTCCCGATTTCTCTATTGGGCTTTGGTTCCGGACTTCAATGGGCCGAAATTCTGGATTTTGTCAGGTAGTGCGGTGGTATAGAAGGGATTTCAATTGTGAGCCTTGGATTTCGTGCCCATCATTCTATGGTGTCTTTTGTTATAAATAATAAAATTAATAAGAAAAAATTGTTTTCCTGTACAATTAGGAAAAAAATGATGTTGTGTAATTTAAGTTGCATGAAAGTATTAAATGATTTTTATATGGTAATTTAAACCGTAAAATATTGATTAAAAAAGTGCCTCAAAATTTTCAGAATTAAATAGTGTTTATATAAAAGCACTGTAATTTGGAAATTTATTATAAAAATTTAATTCAAAAATCAAGATTTCCATACTCATTATCTTAATAAAAAATGGTAGAAATACAATGTTCCATTTTTTTTAGCAATATTTTATATAATATATCGTGACATTTTATGATTTTTACTCTTTTAATTCGAAAAATAAACATTAATTAATACATATCCACTAGCTTAATATTCAACTACATAATATAAAGTAGCCTAAAAAAATATTATACTCAAAGCGTTGCCATTTTTTCCATATTGCAAATTCGTAAGATCTCTGTTCTGGACAACAAAGAAACTGAAATGGTTATAATTCCGGAAAAAGGCATACAATACACCATTTCCTCCCCCCAAAATAAAAACATTTAAACAAATTTTGGTAGCAAACACTCGAAACCTATAATTCACTCTATTTTCACATTGGATACACACAATGAGATCCCTGGTAACTGGAAAAAATTGCACCCACAGCCATATGACAAGTTGCAACTGAAACTACATGTGTATTGAAGGCAAAAACCCTCCGCCCAGGAGGGACCGAGATTGATTCTAGGTAGCTAGGGATCTTATTTCCATCACAAAGAAATGGGTTAAGTACAATAAAATTATCTGATTGAAGAGAAAAAATTTATAAATGAGAGTTCTAGTGATTTAGGCTTTCAAGAATTTCAGGCATCATCCTCCCTAGGGAGAGGGCTTCCTGCCAGCCAACCCCATACACCACTCGAGCTTTGCCTCTGTTTTGCATTTAAGGCAGCTTGTTCAGAAGCAGCTTTTTGACGCTGTAGGAGCTCAAGTTCCTTTTGCAGCGTTTCCATAGTCTGGAGCTTCTGACGTAATTCCGCAACATCAACCTGTGTTCAAAGATCATTAACCCATATCTGATGTATTTACCATAACATACTAAGTTCCAATTGTGAGTAAGTGGGGCTTTTAGAAAAACACTTTCTAATAAACCATCATTGCATATTGAATTTGAATATCAATAGCTATCTGGAGCAATTCAAATCCACCATGATGTTCCCGTGCCATGTCACACTTAAAAAGCTATCATGTTGAAGGGATCAATAACTTCAAAAGAGATCAGACATGGATTTATTATAAAATAATAACAATCTTTATCTAATTTCAAAAGTGCTGGAAATGGGGCAAGGACAAGAACTTCAAAAAAAAAAAAAAATCTGGAACTTCCAAATTGATCAGCACATACCTCTAGTTTGAAACATCTTGATTGCTCAGCAGCAAGTTGACCACGCACAGATTGAAGCTCCTACAATGTGAACAGAAAAACTGATATTGGAATTGGACAAAATGGTAGATAACATGAGATAATTTGCATTTCTGTTAGAAAGAAACAGCACTTTCTAGCCAAGGCCTTGATGCACCAAAGGTAGAAAACTTAAGTTAGAATTAATTCCCAGGCATCTTTTTTTTCAGTGAAGACATTTCATTTACTACCTTAAGGATATCTTGTTGCATTGTGTTGAATTGAATTGCAATTTACAGCAACAGAGGTCATTTATTTCTCTAGTTTATCGCATCACTAACGGAAATCCTTAACTTGACATCCTAACTGTCTCTCTATATACTACTATTTGCCATCAGAGTACCCTGTGTCCTACTTCTTGGTAACGGAACGGAGTTTTTTTTTTTTTTATCATGAATAAGCGGCACCCCAAAAAAAGGAAACATGAATAGAGCTCCCGGAGCTACATTACCTCCCAACATAAGCATCAAACATTACCTTATACAAGTCTGTGTTTCGAGTCTCAGCTTCCACTAATTCTTGCTTTAGCTGAAGGTTTTGCAACTTCTCCTTGTTGAGTGATGACTCCAGCTCTTCTTTCTCGGCCTTTAGTATGGCCATGAGGTGTTCACCAGTCTCCCCACTCTTGGCTTTCTGCATTATACTCTAAACTTTTAAGTGTTTAAAGGAATATATAAAACAAAAAAATTAAAAAAAGAGAGAAATTTGACACACTGATGAAACTTAAAGTTCAGCAGTTGGCCAAAGGAAAGAACTTTAAAGTTCAATAACCAAAGTCCAACAGTGTAACAGTATACATAAAAGAGAAACAAATCTTCTGTGACAAATTTCATTTCCAACATGGGATTTTGAGAGGTCAAAAGCAATTTTATAACATCACTCAGGAATCATATAACATTCCCAGGAAAACATCTCAATGTATTGCTTGGCCATGAATGTTATGAAAGATAATAAATTCAGTTGATAAGATAAGACACGCAACAAATGCATTAAAAATCAAGCAAATGAGCATGTGACTTTATATCAGGAAATATATGAGCAGATAATTTGTAATGAACTGATGTAGCAACTAGAGTTAAATGAACTTGAAAATGATACGTACTGTGGGCTCTTGATCATTGTTATCAATAACAATTTCTCGAATTTTTCCTTCTTGGCCAACTTCAAACTCAGACTCCAAATCTCTGGTAGGGTTTGTAGCATTATGCACAGCAGAAACACTATCAGGCACAGGAGCTTCCATTATCTTTGATTGCAGGGTTGACTTGTGACTTGGCTTGAGAACATTAACCTTAAAGCAAGACAGAAAAACTGAGAAAGAGGAAGATGAGGAAAAGTAACACAGAAGGAGATTAAAAATTTAAACCTACCTCATTGTTATAACGCCCATTGTAGCCTCCAAAAGATACAAGTATATCTTCACCATTGAAGGAGCTTACAACCAAACTCAAGCCCTGCAAGAAATGAGTGAACATCAAATATGGTAGTAGAATAATCAACTGCTTATCAAAAGGTCCAGGTTGCTTTCTGTATACACTCAACAGTTTTATCATTTAATGGCAACATAACTAATTTGTTACAGGTAGTGCAGAACAATGGCATAACAATGCAAATTATCTTTAATATCATTAAAATGAGATTCATTTTCTATAATACAAGAAAGTGTTAATACAAACAGGAAGCACAGACTGCACTTCAGTTAACCATTGATGGAAGGGGCATGCCCCTTGATATTGGGGGGCCCACCCCTCCATCAATGGTCAAAAGTAGTGCAGATCACACAGGGAGGACTGCACTACAGCATTCTCTAATAGAAAATTGTCCACTTGACTTGTAAGAAGCATAGTTCCCAAATGTTTGAGACTCAATGACTGTAAGGCACACATCATTTACACTCTTCAAACAGATAACATAGTATAGGTAGCAAGTATTCCTTAAAAGTAGTATACCTCACTCGCAAGTGGAACCCGTCCTTGAACTGATGTCACAACTGACCACACAAGTCTAGACATGTTGAGGACAACAGTTTCTGATGCACCTGTGAGAAAATAATAGGAAATATGAAAATTAAGGAGCATGGTACATATCCATTCAACCAACATGGATCAAGGTCTAAGGCTTTCCATGTCCAGGGGTGGTAATGACTTCCATATTCTAAATTCCCAATCAAAGAAAAATTATAATTTGGTATCTAAACCTTCATAATTTCCAGCATCTAGTTGCAAAGTAAAGCATTTACATTATATTTTTGTTGTTATTTACTGGTACTAAACTACTAATTCAACTGCTCAGAAGTAATTTCAGCCTTGCTTCATTAGTCGCAATATTTTTAATTGCAGGCTTTCAGCAATAACATAAATTGGCTTTACTTCATTGGTGATAATTTTAGTTTCAGCAATTTGTCTTTTAAGCATGATAGTAAAACCCAGACCAGCATTCCAAGCCAGTTTAATCATGAATAGAACATTAAACTCATCTAGTTCTCTTATCAGACCAGTTATGCAATCTAATCAGTTAAACAAGGTTGAATCGCCAGTCTTTACACAAACCATGAGAACCAGCAGTTGTATTAAAAATCTGAATGTCCACTGCTTAGGTTGAAAATGATATAAAAACCCTTACAAATTTGGATTTTCTAAGACAGAGGAAGGATATCATTTAAACTTCAAAAATAAAATAAAATAAAATAACAAAAACTAGAATGGAAACAACAGAATTGAAAACCCCATGGTTTATCATTCTTCCATCTTCATTCTTCGTTTCCACCATACAACCCCTCCAGAATAATAATTGCCTAATTCTTCATTAAATATCTGATCAATTAGAATTATCTCATGTTTATTTTCTACAATTATAATGACAATTTTCATTTTACCACCTATTTGAGGCATTTGAAGAATAGAAAGTAATCTTCCTTCACAATTCTATTATTTTTCAGTTGTGACCAAGGGTTACATTTGCACTTTTTGGAGAAATTTTAAAGAGTAATTTCCTTTTTATAGTTTGTTATGAAGTACATAAAAATGGTTGGAATACAAATAAAAAAACAATAAGTTTACAAATAAACCCCCAAAAAAAAAACTTTTATGCTGGAAAAATCCTCTTTTTTCAATTTAAATTTATTTACTATTTAAAAATGTTGGTTAGAGAAATTTTAAAATCTTTGGTTGTCCCAATGACTCAAGGGTTCAACCAGTGAACCCATCAAAGGAGACCTCCAACACAGTGTAGTCCAGTTCTAAAAATTATGCCTTTCACTCTTCTTTACCGATCTCTACCCTGAAAGGACCATTAGCAGACCAAAAAGCCTCAAACAATGGATCTGGAAAAGAATTAAGGAACACTAGGTTTCCATCAACAAGATAAATAAACTCGTCTGATCAGACCTGTGACACATTATTCGAAGTAATCCTAAAGTTTTAAGTGTTTGATGCCAATCAGACCTTCTAATAGAGAATCCTAAGTCCACTCTGATTTAAATATTAGCATAGCTTTTCTTGAACCATATTCTGATCATCACAGAAATCTTGGAATGACATGGCCTAGATTGATAGATCTCATTGAAATTTTAGCAATATCTAAAAAGCAAGCACATCTCAGGTTAGACTCAACCATCAAACACTAAGAATCTTATATTTGAATGAGGAAGTTGTAAGACATTTACCACTCTTATTGTCACCACCACCAACAATAAACCAATTCTCCCCAACTGTCACACTCGCATGTCCAGCCCTAGGAGTTGGGATTTCACCTTGTTGTGTGGGTCTTGCCCATTCCATCTGTAAAATGCATGTAAATGAAAGAAGGGATAACGTTTCAATACACAAAAAAAAAAGTAAGAGAAGTTATCTTACAGCTTGCAAATCGAGGACATGCAAGTCATTAAAACAAGTAGCATGTGATCCCCCACCAAAAATAAGAAGGTAGCGCTCTGCATGTACTGCAGCAGCATGATCAGATCTAGGTGAAGGAGGCACCCCCCTGCACGATAATAAAAAGTAAATGCACACCACTAATTAACTTATCTGACTATTAATTGAACAACTCTCTTTCATTCTACAAAAATAACTGGAAAGCAATTACTGAAAGATTAAAATTTCTAACTCTAAAACAGTTTGAATTCAGTATAAAACTAAAAGTCTCTTTGTGGGTTCAATCTTAACCAGGGCAAAATGATCAATCATCAGTCTACTTGATATTAATCACAGGGGCTTCATGTTAGGCAACAAAAGGACTAAAACCACTTCCTTGAACAATAGAACTCAACCATTGCATGTATCCTCAGTAATACACATTCTGATCACTGGATCACTGTTAAAACTTAACATTCTTTCACAAATAATAACAGAGCAGAAAAGGTGGAAGAAATGGCAATATAATAGGCATCAAACTGGAATTGCCAGAAATTATCTTACACAGCATCAATTTCATCCCAAGTCATGGTCTCCAGGTCAAGTATATGTAGATCATTCAAGAGTGTTCGCTTAGCATCTTGTCCTCCAAATATAACTAAGCTTGTTCCAACAAGGGTCACAGATTGACCTCCACGTGATACCTGTGAGGTACACATATCCGGGAAATGAACATTCAAAACATATTACAAAGCCCTGGAAGATCAGAAAATTCAAATTTCACCTAGATGACAACTCATTCAAAAGTTGAAACAACCCATTACTGCCATTGAAGCATGAAAGAAGATAGCAACAAGTACACTAATTCATATTTTTTATTTCACAAACTTTAACACCTCCATTCTCCTTCTTTTGGTTTACTTGATTACCAAGGTTTCAATATGCAAACTTAAAGTCACCCGCAATCTACATTGTCATGAAAAAAAGAGAGCCAAAAATTTTGCTCACTTTGCTGGAAAGCATAATCAATTCTTCTAGCAGGAACGATCTCAATTGTTACCACTATTTTCAACAACATCATGGAAAACAGAAGGCAAATCCTTACCACCACCTAAGCCTCTTAATTTAGTTTGCAGATATTTTTCAGTTAATACAAGGAGAGGAAATGAGGTCAAGAGAAACAACAGATAAGTACCGGTGGTTTGCCATAAGTCTTTAAGTTTGACCAAGTACCAGTTTGCAGATCGAATGCCTTCACTGCAATAGTAGCACAGAATAGAAAGTGAACCATCAATGGGGGACAGAAAGAAGGAAACACAAAGTGAGGTTGGACTCCCAACTTGTGGCTACTGTTTCAATGGATGAGATTTCAGTAGAATATAATAATATTAATCCTTAAGTGAATGTTTGATAGAGCTTAAAAGCAAGTTTGCTTATGAGCAAAATGTTCTCCCTAGAATTTGAAAAATTGTAGGAGAGAAACTTGAATTTAGCTTTCTAGAGTGACTTATAAGCAAGTTTTAAGAACAAAATATGATAAATGAAGCTAAAGCAATCAATGTACCCTGAATAGTTTCAGAAGGATCCTTCGTGTGGCCAGCAATGGAGAGAAGTTTGTTCTCCCAAGGTATCTATGGAACAAATGCCAACATTATATAACATATTGACATGAACAGATAAAGAAATAGAACTGGAGACTTTCAGCAAAAAGATACTAAGCAAGTATGCATTTTTTGGTAGAAAATTTAGCTTCTAGAAGGGATGGAGAATCTAAAAGAAGGGCAGTTCTTTGCTAACCAAGGAATGACCAGCACATGGGGTTACAACTACGGGTGAGGACAATTCAGATGATTCAAGATCAGCCTTAGCATCAACCTTTGACCAAGTCCAACTTCTCAAATCTAGAACCTGTATCACTCATCAAATCAGTGGGGAAATCACATGTAGCTGAAGTAATGCACAAGTAGAATACGATTATTAGTACCAAACAGGAGTAACATTAAATCTTCAAGAGCTTTTAGCAAAATAGCATAGGGAACCAAGCATTAAAACCTTCGAACATGCAATTCCATTTAAGTCTTGCATTTTTAATACCATTATACACATCAATCATGGTGCATGGATGTTTATATCGCTAATGTAAAAGTAGTTCACCTACATGAAGATCACTAAGGTAACGACCATTGTGGTTTCCACCAAATATATACATTTTGTCTTGAACAACAGCTGCTGCATGCTGAAAAATGAGGCAATTTTCTTTAGATGGGGAGAAAAAACAGGTTAAAAGGACCAGGATATATATGCTACAAGTAAATAGCAATTTTCTTTAGATGGGGAGAAAAAACAGGTTAAAAGGACCAGGATATATATGCTACAAGTAAATACCTCATATCTGGCTTTGGGGAGTTGACCAGATATTGGAGGTGCAATCCACTGGTCATAGAAAACAACTGAACCAAGGCCTTCAGAGACAACATCTTTGTCCTGAGTGTCCATCATGCTTCCATTTTCAGTGGAAATGGTCTTCGTCTCAGGTAAAGCATTCCCATTCTCAATGATAGTTTCAACTCTGGAATTATGCTATAAACATGCAGAGAAGTTAAAATGGAAAAGGTAAGCACAGAGAACAACAGGGAAATATGATATAGTCAAGCTCACACACAGCAGAAGAACAGGTCAGCAACCTGCTTCCCTATTCAAATATCTGCCTCTAGAGTGAAGTCCAACAACATCAACAACACAAGCACCAAGCATTTAGCAGTTCTCATATAAGGGCAACTAAAACAAGAGAGAGGTATCTTTTGTCTACTGTCATATCATCATGACAAGATCAGATTTCGAAACAACCCTGTTTGGATTCAAATCCATTTGGCAGTGAATTCAGAAAGTTCCAAATTCCAATTTTTCTTCTGGCATTCAAATTCAACAAGGGAGATTCAAGTTGTCAACCCCTTTCATGTTAGTTTTTTGTTTTCATTAGGATTTTACTTTCCTATTTCTTCTTTAATTCCATTCAGGATTCTATTTGGGTACCGATTCTATTTCTACTAGGATTTTACATTCCAATATAATAAAAGCTTCAAGGCCTAAGGCCAAAAAGCTTTTTCCTAGATACTACACAAGAATTATTTCTTTGAGAGCATTTTCTCTATTTTCTAGTGTATCCCGAAATATTTTTTGAGTCTAAACATGATTTTGCTTGTTATTATCATTTCCAAATCAATTATTGAAGATATTATTCATATTGACCAATATAAAAATAAACCTTAACTACCAGCAACCAAACAGTAAGCACCCTATTAAAATGCAAAGTTAGGAGTTTCAATGTACTCACATTCATTTGCACATCAACAACAGGTTCGGGCTCTGCAACAAAGTTAGATGCCCTTGAATACCAACCTGGATCTTCTTCCTATTCGTAAGGTCAAGAACATAAAAGACAATAATTAGCCCAAACTAAATTGATTCGTATATAGAACAACAATTCAATTTCAAGGAATTATATCAGAGTATACCTCCAATAGTTTCACAAAGAGACGCATAGCTTCAGTAGAAGCCATGTTTGCTAGCTCCTTCCAGCTGCATGAATTGTAAAAATCTTTAGGAAAAAGAGGCACTCAACTTCCCCCTCTCCCCCCCACACTCAATAAGTAGCTCAAACTAATTTGCATCGAACATCTTGAACTGTTCTGGAATGCCTAAATCTAGCATTATATAGACATAGACATGAAAATATGACATTACAAAATCCTTCCAAGTAGTTCACCATAAATTCCCCAAAAATATGCAAATTTCCAGCCCTATTAGACTAGCTTAAATATGCACTAACCCAGAAATCCTCCTCCATAGTTTTATACATTGGAATTCACCAATTGAAACCTGTTCAGAACAGCACACCAGATGCCACTTAAATCAAGCATTAGTACACCAACTCCACACATGTTTTGCTTCTTACCATTTAGCAAGGAATTTAACTATCAATTTTCTTTCCCAACTAAAAAAAAAAAAATTGCAGCAAAACCACATACTCCTACAAACTATGCAAAAATTTACTCAAATCTACATCAACATTTGTATTTCGTTATTTTACATTGTTTTGACCTAAGAAACTCTATTTCTGTCAGAACTTCATATTTGCGGAAGCAGAACAAGCATAATGAACATGATGGCTAAATGCAAAACCTTGCAATGTACGTGCAGTAATTTCCATATACTATGAAACTAATTGCATTAACAAATTACTAAAGGCAGTTTACAAGATCAAAAACCTTTGCCACTTGCTTTGTTCAACACGACTCCAAGAACTGGGTTTTGGAACATTACAAGGTCCTACGGTGGCCTGTAATCACATCCATAAATAGAAAATTAGTCAATTATTCACAAGAAAACCTCATACATTAAAAAAATTAGTTAATTAACCATCAATTAAATCACAAGATCAACATTAAAGTTGTCTTAGATTTCATGTGAAAAATCAGATCTACTTAAACAACAGTTTACCATCCTCAAAACATACAAATTATTGAAAAAATCTAAAAGAAAACGCAAATCCTTGAGTGCACATTAGCAGCTAGGAAATCAGTAATCAATCATCCTAGATCAGATCAACTTCAATAACACCATGCACAACAGAAGTCGCCGTTAAAATCTACTTCAATAATAACACAATTTAACTCACTTTCCATTCAAATTTCTGAAATCAACAACGAACAGATATCAATCATCAAGATTCAAGAAAGACCTTATTATCACGCGAGACTTCCATTGCATTTATTGGAAAACTTAAAACCAGCAGAAACCAACAAGGGAAAAACAAGCTAAGGATCTAAAACAGCGGATCCGCAAAATTGCAAAGGAGAAATGAGATTGAGATGCAGAGATGTCGGCATACCTGCTTGTACAAAGCGTAGAGGATCAAAGCAACGTCTGGTTTAAACCTGGACTCGATGTCCTTGGTGGAGGACTGTGGAGATCCATCGAAGCCGGCGTAGGAAGCCGCAGCAAAGAATCGCTCGGGGTACGCGAGGCCAGAGCTTGCCCTCGCCATAGCCATCTACTGCGTCTCAGCGGCAGATTTGATCAGAGATTTGCAGGTATCAGAGATTCAGATACGTGTTAATTTCAGGATTCCTGTAGTTGCAAGGGAAAATTGATGGAAGAAATGTCTAGTATTTTGCTTGGGGTATGTTTGGGCATTAAGCTTGTGTATATGTGGCACGTTTGGCTTCTCTAAAACCTTTTTGCAATTTCCATTTCAGTTGGCACTCGGCGGTCGGTGCTTCGTGGGTTCTCCTATAATTTATAGTCCAGGTACCCTATTGTAAAACATAGAGGCTTAAATTAGATTCATTAGTAAATAATTATGGACTCTCATTTAGGATTTAAGTTTTGGGTTAAAAAATAAAATTTTCTAAATTCATAATAGGAATATATTCTTAAAATTATTCTAAAATGAATTAGTGGATATCCTAATTATAAATAAAAAATGAAAACTTGAAAGATTGGATGTAAAATTGTGGATTTTGATAAATTGTCAATTTTTTTATTATTCTTAATTTAAAATTTCAATTGTTGTAAAAAAAAATTAAATAAAAAGTGGAAAAAAAGAAACCACAGATACTCCTACCAAATAGAGTCATAACTCTTAATAATTCTGAACATCTTCTGCAATTAATTTTTTGGCAACAAACTTATGGTAGCTTTAAAAATACAGGCTAGCCAAAAGAAAATACAATATTAATACAGACCTCTATTTTCTATACAGGAGTCTTAAATATTTTAATCATCCAAACACTTTTAGTCGTTTTCACATAAATAATCTTTTATTAATTAATAAATTAATTAAAGTTTTCAAAAAAAGAAAAAGGAGAACAATTACTAATATTTAATTAACCAAAAATACTGTATATTCTGGTAGTCTCTAAAGTAATAATCTTTTAATAAACATGGATTTTATTTATGGAAAAATTGTTTTACACCATGAGAATATATAATTCATTTTGTAAAATTATTTAAATATTTTTAAATTTATTATTATATTATTTTTTAAAAATATTTAAATAGTTTTATAAAATAAATTATGTTTAATTTATTTTGTAAAATAATTTTTAATTTATTTATTATATTTAAAAATTTACTTTATAACTTATTATAGTTTAAACAATAAAATAAGAGATTTTCAATTGATGTTAACCCCAATTTTATTTGAATCTTTATTCAATATAATTGAGTTCCATTTTATTCATGAAGTGTTAGTTAAAAAAAAATAAAAAGAAAGAAAAAACAGAAAATATGTTAAGGAACAAAACAAGCTAACTGGACAGTTTGTTCGTCTTGAGTTTACGGGGCAGTTCACAGTTGTCTTGGACAGACACCCAGATAACTCCGGCAAAGAAAAAGCAAAGGGAACAGTTTGCAAGGGAAATAAGGAAAGTTGCTGAGCGATCCGAAGACAGTTCCGAGCACGATTCCGGTAATGGACCTCGCGTTGTAGTAGGATTCGTGGGTTTCTCCTTTTTATTGATCCGGTTGAAGTACTCCAACCCAGTCAAATTATCAAACCCTAGCCTCAGGTATTCTGCTCCCTCCCCTTCTTCAAGTTTCTTAATCGTCTTTACTTTCTTGGATCTAATTCGTCTCGCTCTATGTTTCTATGGATTAGCGACTCCAAATTGCTTGGTTCTTCGTTTTGTTGCTGGGTACTTGATTTTATCTTCCTAATGCACAATTCTTGTCTATTTTGTGCTTAATTCCAGTTGTTAATTATTATTCTCTGTTTCCTTCTTCTTTTTTCAGTTTTCTGGCTTTTGGCTGTGGTCTTGACTTTGACTGTCCTTTTAGGTTTTCTTTTGGGTTAGAAAGCATGGGTTTTATGTATGCTTTTCATGATTACTTCGTTTTGTTTTCTTGGTTGTTGCGTTATGTTTGATGGGTTTGGTTTTTAAAATATGATTTTCTGTTTTCAAGTCTAAGTTCTGTTGTGCTATTTTATGGATTGTTGTTCTGCATGTACTCTTCTTTACCCCAAGAATACTGGTTTTCTGTTGATAATACGTAGTTATTGGTTGCTTGTTTCAGTTGATTTGTTATGATATTAGTCTTGCTTTATGTGTTCAATTTGTTGCTCATAATTTCTAACCTGGTATTATGGTGCATTTATCTTATGCATTCTATATTTCTATCCAATAGAATAGCAGTGTGACAGCAATGGATCTACCACGAACAACCTCAGGGAATGCTGAGGACAATGTTGGGATTCCAGATGATTTACGTTGCAAGAGGTCAGATGGGAAACAGTGGAGGTGCACTGCAATGTCTATGCCGGACAAAACTGTGTGTGAAAAGCACTATATCCAGGCAAAGAAGAGGGCTGCCAATTCTCAAATGAGAGCAAAAAAGAGGAAATCTATAGGTGAAGCTGATATTTTCTTAGAGAGTAAAAGTGATGAATTCGATGTTCCACTTGTGAATAGAAAAGTTGAAGATTTTCCTCTTTCGGTTTCCATGAAGAAGTATAAAGAGAAGGTACCAAAGAATCAAATTCAATATTCACCAGAGGAACCTTCAATAAGGAGTTTGTCAGTAGGTAATAACGTGAAGCCTGAAGATGATTCACAAAGAGATGCTACATTATTTGAAGAGAATTGGAGACCATGCAGGACACCATCTCTTCCTGCTATGGACTTGTCTGGGAACAGGTCACAGAGGAGCTTTGATGATGTTGCAATGACAGCAGTGAGTTAATTTGCAATCTATTTATTAACTTAGTCCATCGAATGATGCTTGCCCTTTCCTGTTTGTCTATTTCTGATACTGAGATGAACAATTTGCTTGCCAGGAAGACTCTGAAGATTCTTCTGATGAAGGGTTTGTTGGCCAAACTTGCCATCAGTGCCGACGGAATGATAGAGAGAGAGTTACCTGGTGTCTCAAATGTGATAGGAGAGGGTATTGTGATAGCTGTACCTCTACATGGTGAGAATAATTTTTTAGGTAAATATGCCTCTTCATTTTACAAGAATATCAGGTATTTATGATTCACTTTTTAGGTACTCGGATATCCCATTGGAAGAAATTGAGAAGGCTTGTCCTGCGTGTCGTGGTTCTTGTTATTGCAAGGTTTGCATACGAGGAGATAACATGATAAAGGTATTTCAGTCATTGATTGGTTGGTGTTACTACATTTGTTATATCTAAACGACAAAAGACTAGTTTTGTATGGTTTGGGTGCCTGATTTGTTGAAAATTATTGTTCTTTCTCTGACTTGCAGGTGAGGATACGGGAGATACCCTTTCTGGACAAATTGCAGTATCTCTACTCTCTTCTGTCTTCAGTGCTTCCCATAGTTAAAAAGATCCACCATGAACAGTGCACCGAAGTAGAACTTGAAAAGAAGCTTCGAGGTCAGATGCTTCCGATGGTGCAGTGATTGAAGCTCAGGTTTTTGCCTTTTTGGCATGAAAAGTTTATGATCAAATGACTGATGTTGTTTTTATAAATATATTTTAGGAGTGGAAATTGATCTAGTCAGAGTGAAGCTGAATGCAGATGAGCAGATGTGCTGGTACCATTACAACTTTATTATTATTATTATTATTATTATTATTTTATCAGCCTTTTATTAGTTATTTTAGAACCTTGCATTTATTGTCCTGACTAGTCATTACACATCAGGTAGATTTCTACATCTCTTTTTTTGTTAAGGTTTATGTATGGCAGATGTTTTAAAGTACAGAAAAGCATATATCTCTTTTTTTAAAGGACTATGGTTCCTAAAAGGCTAAAGCCATGTTTGTCTCGCAGCAATATTTGTAGGATACCCATAATTGATTATCATCGACATTGTTCAAATTGTCGGTATGATCTATGCCTTAGTTGCTGTCAGGATCTTCGTGGAGCATCTTTGGGTGGTGCCAAAAGGGAAGTAGAAAATGAGAGTGGTGAGAGAAGTCAAGACAAAGAAACTGCGATGGGACAAGTATCTGAATTTAGACTGAATTTGTTGGATAAGTTCCCTGGCTGGAAAGCCAACAGTGATGGCAGTATTCCTTGCCCTCCTAAGGAGTATGGTGGCTGTGGTCATCAATCATTGAACCTAAACCGTATTTTTAAGATGAACTGGGTTGCGAAACTGGTAAAGAATGTAGAGGAAATGGTTAGTGGCTGTAAGGTATATGATTTTGGAAGTCTACCTAAGACTGAATTAAATGAACCCAGTCTTTGCAGATTTGCTGATAGAGAAGGCAGCAATGATAATTTCTTATACTGTCCATCCTCTCAAGTTGTTAAAGCAGAAGGGATTGCAGATTTTAGAAAGCATTGGGCCAAGGGTGAACCTGTAATTATCAATCAGGTATGTGACAACTCATCCATTTCAAGTTGGGACCCAATGGTTATTTGGACAGGGATCCGGGAGACAGCAGATGAAAAAATGAAAGATGAGAACAGAATTGTGAAGGCTATGGATTGCTTAGATGGGTCTGAGGTGAAGTCGCTCTTCTATTGCTTATTATTAAGTGCTTATGGTTTAATTACTAATAAATTTGATTGAAGTTGTACATTAGTTGCACTTATATCTAAAAGGTACAGTTTTACTTGATGGCAGGTTGAGATTGAACTTAGTCAGTTTATCAAAGGATACTCAGAGGGACGAATCCGTGAGAATGGTTTGCCAGAAATATTGCAGTTGAAAGATTGGCCTACCCCAAGTGCTTCTGAAGAGTTTTTGATGTACCAGAGACCTGAGTTTATCAGTAAACTGCCTCTACTTGAGTACATACATTCCAGATTGGGTCTTCTAAATGTTGCTGCAAAACTGCCTCATTACTCATTGCAAAACGATGTAGGACCTAAGATCTATATTTCATATGGGACCTACAAAGAACTTGGTGGAGGGGATTCAGTGACCAATCTCCATTTCAAAATGCGTGACATGGTGAGATACCTATTGCTTTGTTGACTTATTACTGTGTGCAATTCTGCACCTTTGCTTTTATTATGATTATTTATTCATTTATTTATTGTGTTGAAAATAGATTTGGAAACCATTACTTCCTTGCTACCAACCAAATAAACACACTTTAAGCTTGCACTTTTGTCTGGTATCAGTGCATCAAAACCCCCTATTACTGTATTTTTTTTATTGAGTTATGTGTTATTGTCAGGTATATCTATTGGTGCATACATCTGAAGTAAAGCTAAAAGGTCAGGAAGAGACAAACATGGTTAAGATACAACATTCTAATAAAGAGTCTGAGGTGAATGAGTCACTGGGGGATCCTGAAACACAGTCAGATGAGAGAAGGTTACCTGATTTATCTGTTGCTGAACCTGAGACAGATAATGAATCTGGGATTAAGTCTCTTAGAGATGAAGATGAGAAAATGGAAGAGGATCAAGGAACTAAAAACGTTAGTGTTGGAGATGAAACTGTAAGTTTTGAAAAGTTGAATGGAGATAGTGGGGTGTTCTTGGAAATGACTCGTCCAGGAGCTTCTTGGGATGTCTTCCGTCGAGAGGATGTTCCAAAGTTAGTTGAGTATCTGCAAGTGCATTGGAAGGATTTTGGGAAGTTTAACAGTGCAAAAATCAATTTGGTAAGTTTGTGTTCTTTGCCATATTTGTCTACACTTTTCATGATGTAATGTAGTTGGTTTATATAAAGGTGCTTGTTGGTGATCCTTTTTTTGAATCTCAGGTATCACAGCCTCTGTATGATGAAGTGTTGTTTCTGAATGAGCATCAGAAGAGAAAATTGAAGGAAGAATATGGTAAGGAATATTGACCTTGCATTGGAGTCAGGGATGAGGTAGTATCTACCTATGACAATAACATTGAATGTGTTAATTGGCCTGAGCCAAGTCATCTAAGGATGGGAAAATCTTCTCAGTTTCTGACTAGGATGCCGGATAAACTAAGAACCTACTAGGATTTCCTATAAATTTTAGAATCTTATTTTTGTAGAATAGTTGGATTGTACATCAAAATGTTTCTCTCGGAAAACCTTATTGATTATGACAGTGAACAGCCTGCCTTGGTTCATGCTGGAATGACTTTCCACATCAGAACCGCCACCTCTCATATTGGATTTGCCCTTTAAACTGCTTCTGTAGTGTATGCTTTAATTTTACTTATTGGCATATCCCTAGCATAGATAAATATTTGATTGCAGTAATGTCTAATTTTTTCCTTGTCTTTTTATGATAAAAGTTATTCCTTTTCTCTAATAGGAGTTGAGCCATGGTCATTTGAACAACATGCTGGGGAAGCTGTCTTTATCCCTGCTGGATGCCCTTTCCAAGTTAGGAATCTTCAGGTCAGTCTGATAACAATATTCCATATTTGGATAGATCTTACAATCTTGGCACTCCTGCAGGGTTGATAATGTTGGATATTTCTGGGGCACACAAGTTTTGAAACTCTCATTTTACTGGTTCATTCCAACTATACTTTTAATGATTAGTTTCATTATTATAAAATTTGCAGTCCACTGTTCAGTTAGGCCTTGACTTCTTATTTCCTGAAAGTTTGGGGGAGGCTGCAAGATTGGCTGAAGAAATCCGCTGTCTTCCAAATGACCATGAAGCAAAACTTCAAATTTTGGAGGTTAGGAATAGGAAAATTCTCACTAAACTATTCAGTTCCTTCCCTTTCCTATCTTGATTAATTTTTCATTCCATTTTAAAGACATTTATTGTCAACATGTTTATCTAAATGAAGTATTGATTTTTGTCACTGAGTTCTGATGCAGGTGGGAAAGATATCGTTATATGCAGCTAGTTCAGCTATTAAAGACATCCAAAAACTGGTGCTTGATCCAAAGTAAGTAATTATGGCCTTTTCTTTGTGGTATTCTTGTATGATGCTTAGCATACTTCTTAATGGATAAGCAAGCAGAAGGGAAAATGATCTTTTACCATTTCATTAGCCTTGTAGACCATGATAATGAGGCATCCAATAGGAAGTAGATTTGCTCAAGTACTAAGACCTCAAGCATATTTTATAAGTTACCCTGATCGATGCTACTCCCGAGGCCAATTCCGTGGGTTCCTTAGAGGAATATATGCCTCAAAACTCTCACCCGTCCCATTCTTCATCCATTCCTCTTCCACCAGATCCACTCAATCTGCAAACATCAGAGTAACAAACTTTCATATCTGTTTCTGTTACAGGCTTGGTGCGGAGCTCGGATTTGAGGATCCTAATTTAACCGCGGCAGTTTCTGAGAACCTTGAGAAGGTAAAGCAGAGGCAGATAGCTTGCACATAAACTTTTGTGCAATATTGTAATCTAGATATAGGAAATTATAGCAAAACCTTGTTATTAAAGTCAATCAGTCGCCTATTCCGGTGCCTAGAAGAATTCTGATCGATAAATGTATTTATATATAATTCCTAATCATCTCCGGCACCTGTTTTGTATCCATGTAACAAGATTCATAAGGAAATCAAAATCTCTACATAGACAGGCAAGATAATGGCTTTGCCAGGTCGTTGCCTGGAGATATCAAGAGGTGAGACTAAATGAATCCGCAATTGTGCGGAAGGCTGGCTCGATTGCTGGCCATTCCGACTCCGGTGCCTGTGCGTTCAGGGTGTAGAGTCGGCCACGGCGAGTGCAAAAAACTGCAATATTATGCCGTTGGAACGACGTGCTTTCAACTTTAAACTCCAGCTCATAGTATTTAACATTCTTTGGAGGATCCTCTCTGAGAGTTGATTTCAGTAGAGTTCCTCTCAGATCGGGACGCCGTCCGGAGCCGGTTACCGTCCGAACCAGAGCTTCTCCCACTTCTTTTGGCCCACCAAATGCTTCAATTCTGTGTTGCAAGAGGAAAAGGTGTCAGCTACACGATCTTGTTGTGGTAAAACCAGTCACTTATATAATAGATTTTGTTTGGTCCCAATCTTATTTCTTCAGTTAAATGGGGTTCTCACATTTTTACTCATTTCAACTTACTCAAATGCTAGGCTAGGGATTCAATTGGATAAAGAAATTGGGTCTCATTCAAACAATTTAAAAGATAAGGGACCAAATTAGATTTTCCATTTACGGTATCAAATCCAAATATCCAATGACGAGAACGAGAAGAGCTCACGAGAAGTCGAGGGGGACCGGTGAGACGACGACGCTAACATTGAGCTCGCCGCTTGAATTCGGAGGCCCAAAGGCAACTACTGGTTCATTGACATTCTTCTGGCGTCGCCCGCCACCGGAGTTTAAATTAGCTAACGGCGGCGGATCAAGTGACTTCTCTGTTTTCTCCGCCGCTCTGTATAACAACGTTTGGTCTCCGACCCAACTCGCGGGGTATATAAATTCTGCCAGTCCATTGAAAGAATCAGAAAATTCACCGCTCTTTACATCTTCATTATCTGAAAACATTTCTAATTTCGGGAATTACTAACCGAATCCTTCATCGGTCTCGATGCATCGACTGTATCCTTTGATGGGATAAAGCACGTCCAGCTTGAGATTCCTGCCACTCTCCGGCGCTAACCCCAGAAGAAAACTAGTAATTCCGGCAAAATTTGCGCCAAAAGCCACAACAGAGGCTGACCCAAAACCAACCAGCAACCGCCGCCTAAACGTGGCTGCTAGAGGACCGAATTCCTCCGCTGGAGACGTTCCTAATCGTGTCCTGTTGGTCGTCGGCTCCCGAATACCTTCCTTCCCGCCTTGGGTCATGTAAATCTTTCTGTTTAGAAGGACATTTCTGGATGTCTCAAGGTGGGTGTAGTTCTGTAACGCCATTTCTTGAGGATAAGGGCGATAGCTATCTTGTTTATGACACTCTCTTTTGTCGGGTTATTTTCTCGGGCCTCTTGGCAATAATAACTTTTGGGCTTGACGGATTTCAGCCCATTTTTCTAGGGGCAGATTTATTTTTTACTTATTTATTTATTTATTTTTCAAAGCCGCACATTTTGACTTTGGGGGTACCCCAAAGGAAAAGGCTCCAAAGTTTCATTCTTTTGACAATGATTTAGTCACAAGACCCACATCCACATCTTTCCCCGTAATTTTCCCTCACAGCATGTGATTCATGCATTGCATTGCTTATCTCACGTGTTTCGGTAAAAAAAAAAAAAAAAAATCTTAAATAATATATAATTTTAAAAAAAATTGTGAGAAAATGTTGTAACTAATCATTTTTTTTATTTTCATTCCATTCCAGTGAAAAGGAAGTTATACACTAATAAAAGGAATTAAACTCAAATATCAATAATCACTTGAGTCTCTCATTGGTTACCACCAGGTTAGGATGAGTTTGATTCCTCATCCTCTCCTCCGGACTGACCTCCATTGTAATAAAAAAAAGTTATGCGCTAATAATTAAAGAGTATAATTCTGCTTGAGAAGATAAGAATTATTAGTTTATGAAAGGCCAAATTTCATGTCATTTTCTTGAGTTTCTTTTTTCTTTCATGGCATTGCATGCTTTTGATTAAAATGTTTCGGTCCGTCCACTCTAATCGGCATATTCTGCCCAATTCTTCCAAACCCCATCGTCTTGCCTTTGTCTTGTTTCTCCATTGATCCCCAAGAAATCCACGGTCATCATATTCTGATCCCCAAATCTTGATAAATCAGAAATCAAGCTTCCATTGTTTTGGTCTCCAAAACCCCCGGAAGAAAACATCCATCCATTGTTTATTTGGAGTTGCATTAATGTGCTGAAGGATGCCATCATTGTAGGAGAAGTGATACTGCTACCGCTGCCAGAAGCGGCTGCAGTTGCACCCATCTGAGCTGCTTTCTGCAGCAGGGCTGTGGCGGACATGGAGGGATTGAATGTAGCTGAAGGAATTGTTGTAGAGCTTTGAGAGTCTGATGATAGGTTCCTAGAACCACCGCCAAACAGAAGGCTCCCATTGCTGCCGCTGCTACTGTTTGAAAACATGCTTCCAGCTGCTGCAGCCCCCATGGGGGTTATTGTTCCCTGGCTGAACTCTGGCGCCAGTGGAGGTGCGAGCTCCGGGATGACTTGATGGTGTAAGTTTGATCCCACATTAGTGGCACCCGCCGATATTCCTGGGCTTGCATTGTTGTTTTCCTCAGTTGGGGTTGGGAGCACTGAGGCATCGCAGAAAGCTCTATGAGTCATTAAGCTATCCCTTCTGAAATCAAAACAAAAAAATAATTACATTTCAATTTGATATAAATTTGCTATTTTAATTTTCGCTTGAATTTTATATTTTAAAAATTAAAAAGTCAAAGTAAAGCACTGTTATTGAGTAAAAAAACTAATTTCATATCATTAAACTTTAAATAATAAGTTATTTTATAACTTAAATTATTTTAAATTATAAAATAAAA